ACACTCTGTACATTCCTTCTGTTCTACACAGTCGCAGAGCTGGCAATGTCCATCATTGGTGACAGCAGCAAACCAGTGAGAGGCAGCAGCTGAGGGACTGAGAGGGAACTGACACGGCCAAGTGCTCTGTGTCTTGGTTGGAATGGTGGCGATGGGGGTGTCTGCCATTGCCAAAAGTCACTAGACTATATGACACCTCTGTGTAACCCACTGTTTCTTCATTACACCTCAATGGAAATGCATGTGTCAGAGAGACAAGCCCACACCTCCCTCCCACTCTGCAGAAGGAACAAAGTGGATTCATGTTGCGCCCTGGGTGGGCAGGGCCTGGTGTACAATTGCTTTAGGCGTTTCCTGAAATGTGGTTGTCGGGATGAAACTGCCAGTCACAGAGAGAACCTGCAGTTTTGAGTAGGGCTGCAGTGTGTCACAGATGGAGGCTCTACAGGGACTCGGGTCCCGGCTGCCAGCACCACACACACCGTCTCTCTATTTCCCAGCCCACTGGGAAGCCTCTGAAGACATCTCCCCTCGCTTCCTCAATGTCCTAGACCAGTCCTGGTGACAAGCCCCAAAACACCTGCCCTGGCCTTGCAGGAGGGGCATGAAGGATGTGGTACTCAGTGCTCAAAGAAGGACCTAAGGCCTCTGCTTTCTCTACCAGGAGCCTGTGTGTCAGGAGTTAACCAGCTACGTAAGGGGCAGGGAGGGAGCAAGGCCACGAGTTCAGACCCTGGGGGGGGGGGCTCCCTAAAAGTCTTCATTCCAAGACCACAGCCTAAATGGAGACAGAGCGTATATGTGTGCTTGTGTGTGCCTGTGTGTATGCGTGTACACATGTACATGTTTATGCATTTTTATGTGTGTGTATGTTTACACACAAATGTGTGCATTTATGTGTGTACATACGTACATGTGTGTACATGGGCACATGTATGTGTTTTTGTACATATGTATGCATGTAAATGTGTACATTTATGTACGTATACACATGTATATGTACATATGTATTTATGTGTGTGAATGTGTTTGCACGTGTACATGTAGCATGTAAGTTCTTATGTGTGTGCGTGCATATAGACATGTAATATGTATGTGTTTATGTGTGTATGTGTATATGTAATTAAGTATGTGTATATGTATGTGTGTATGTGTATTATGTATCTGCATATGTCTATGAATGTATATGTGTGCATATGTGTAAATATGTGTGTTTATATGTATATGCACATGTGAACAAGCATGCATGTGTTATGTATGTATAGGCATATATGTATATTTAGTATATATAGGCTTTTATACGTGTGTGTGCATTAGTGTTGTTTATATGTGTATGTGTATATGTATACATGCATGTGCGCACATGTGTTATTTATGTGTGTGTTATGTGTTATTTATACATGTATATGTGTGTTGTTTGTGTATATGTATGTGTATGTATGCACGTGTGCATGTGTTTTTGACACACACATGATTCTAGGGTTCAGTCAGGCTTGAGCACCTGCCGCCTGTGTGGAGCAGTCAGCAAACAAACCAAGAGGAAGAGGAGGAAGACTCAGCCCCCTGGGAGCTGTGGAGCATCTGGAAGCAGAGGACCACATCAGGAAGGGCTGTGGCTAACGTGACCACCTCGCCCCACCCCAGGCCCACCTGACAACCCAGAATGGGCTTATTTGCAAGTAGGCTCTTTGCATGTGAGTAAGTTAAAAATGGGGGGGACCAGACCCAGGCCTGGGGTGGGGCCTATGTCTTCATCAGTAACAGAACTGAGGGAGACACCAGCAGATGTAAAAAGGACCCCAAAAGATGGAGGCAGAAACCTTAGCCATACACACACAGAGGTGAACGCAGAGACATGTGTGAGGTGCGTCCCTCCAACAGGGCAACCTCATGGCAGGCTTCTGGTCCCACATCTAGGGAAGCAGAAATGTCAGAGGCTTAAGCCACTGTGTGGCCACTGCTCAGACAGCCCGAGGACTTAGTCCAGGGTGAAGCCAAGCTTTCCCTTATGCAGAGGTGGAGTCACAGCTGAGACCACTGGGCAGGAGCCTGGGAAATACCTGGATGCTGAGTTTCTAGGTGTCAGGGTGTCAGGCCGTGCAGCAGGGAGCTGTGGCCCCTAAGACTGGGGTCCAGCAGGGAGAAACCCAACAGGCAACAAGACCACATTCCAAACAGCGGCGTCCATCGGTATGTTCACGAGCATGCTCTTGTCCCCCAAGCTGGGGCATGGGGGCACCGTTCCAAAATAAATAAGTTAGCCTTGTAAATATGGACCAGCCCACTCTGTTTTTCTTACCAGCTCATCCTCCCAATGGTGTAAAGTCTATTAGACAATAAATATTTATCTTCCCCTTCTGTGTCCACAGGTGTGAGTCACTAATTGTCAATATGTATTCATTATCTCCCTACAGGCTATAAACCAAGCCATACCAGCCAAAGTAACTCCTATGGAGCATCCTTGCATGGGTCTAGAATAGAACAAAGCAGAAAATAAAAACCAACAGAGGACTAGAGGTGAGGGACAGTGGCTGGCCAGCAGCTGAGGATGGCTCTTCCAGAAAAACTGCACCAGAGAAGCCTAAAGAAAGTTATTTCGCAGAACTGAAAAGTTTGGAACTCCAGCTTTGCTACTGAGTAAAATGGTGAATCACTTTACCAAGAAAGGCTGGCCTCCTTATCTGTCAAAAGGAGAAGATGAGGTGGCTGAAAGGGGCAGGGAACTGACAGATTTGCAAGGTTCAAAGGATTTTAAGATGCATTAACAACTTTGCAGAAGGCACACGTGTTTCACCAAGGCTCCAGAAGGCTTCAGAGTGATGTCAGACACACTGGCTTAAGGAGCCCAGAGGAGCAGACGGGACTGACAGACATCCTCTCCCCTGCCCTGCCACCGACCACAGTCTCATCCTGAAAGAGGAGAGCCCTGTCTGCTCAGTGCCTCCAAAAATCACAAAGGAGGAGTCTATGTTTCCTTCTAGAACAATCCTGAGACATTTGAACCCAAACAGGACAGGGGCACTCCTGAGGCCGGAGAACAGGGGCGAGAAGGTGGCTGTCACCTGTGTCTCTCCTTCCCTGCTGGTGGCTCTGGTCTCCCAATGCTGACTACAAGTTCCCCAGCGCCCCAGCTTTGCCTGGCTAAGCCACAGCTCCCACTGGCCCTTTGCTGGTTTCCATTAGTACTGCCCATGCCCTCTGACCTTGCTTCCGGCCCTGGCGGTCAGTCCTTCTGTACTTCCTTAGAGCAAATGGTCCTGCACTCTCTCCCTCTGTTCATTCACGGCTTAAGACCACTCAGATAAGCAGAAGCCTCTCAAAGGTTCTGCCTGGCTCTCTGAGTCTCTTGAACTTACTGCCGTTTTTATCAGTACTGCAGGTGAATGTTCCAGGAAGCCAGAACTGCCTTCTACATGCTAAAGGCAGGCTCTACCTTTGGGCCCAAGCCTTCCCCAATTGCTGTTTTTTAAGCCAGGAATTTTTTTATTCCTGTTTAATCTTTTAAAAATCAGCTTTGGACATACAGACCGTGTTTCCACATGAGAACACGGCTGCCGTCAGTTCACAGCTGCCTACTGAGAAGGTCAGGGTACCCCTGGTCCCAGTCTCCACTGCACCCTATTGTCTGCTCCCACTCAGCCAGCCATTTTCCCCATTCCTACCATTTCCCTGGCTTCTGGAGGAAACTGACAAACAACAGCGGAGTCAGCCTTTACCACGCCCAGTAAAATAACAAATGAGATGGTCTTGAAAGCAATTTAACTCGAAACATGTTTATGACATAAAATTACCTTAAAGACAGACTGGAAGAGCCAAACAAACAGTTTTTATCCCTGAAACAATGTTTGCTTTCCTCTCCTTTATTCTTTTTAAAAGAATGACTAAACTTTCAAAAGCATAACAGATATCTGACCCTGTGTGTGTCATAGGCCTAAAACCCCAGTTGCTCAGGAGGTAAGAAGGTTGAGAGTTCAAATCCACACTGGGAAACTTAGCAAGACCGTCTCTTCATTTAAAAAAAAAATGTTTTTTAAAACTGTTGGAGATGAGCCAGGTGGTAGTGGCACACACCTTTGATCTCAGTACTCGGGAGGCAGAAGCAGGCAGATTTGTGTGAGTTCAAGACCAGCCTGGTCTATAAAGCCAGTTCTAGGACAGTCAAGGTTACACAGAGAAGCCCTGTCTCAAAGAGGGGGGAAAAAACCTGTTGGAGAGGTAGCTTGGTGGTAGAGTATTTGCCTAGCATGCATGAGGCTCTGGGTTCAATACCCAGTACCACACACATATAGTCATACATGCACATGTGAAGACTGGCAGAACCCAGCCAGGCGTCGTGCTCATCATCTTTCTCAAGGGAAGTTCTCAGAAACTTCACACCAGGCTTGAAATTTTTCTCTAACTTTACAACCATCTTTGGGGTTGTAAGCTTATAGACTATAAGCTTCTTGGGCACAGAGAATGTCTTACTGTTCTGTGGATGCCCAACCCTTGGCATGACCCCTGACCTCGATCCTAGACAGACCTCAATCAGCAGGCAGAGATGAGATGAAGACTGGAACACCACTGCTGACTGCAAGGCTCTGGATGGAGCTCCAGTCCCAGCCCCTCCTCTTCCGGGCATAGGCACTGGAAACTCAATCCTCTAACCTGTGAAATGGGTATGATGACCGCAGCAAGTGACCTGAGGCTGCTGTGAGCACATGGCTAGGTGCTTCTCACTGCATCTGCAGGGCTGCGGCTCAAAGCCAGAGCCATGCTATTGAGAGTCCTGTTGAATGGAGGGAGGGCGAAGAGAAAGAAGGGAATGTGTGTTCCAGGAACTTAATTGCAAATGTGTCTGCACCTCAGAAGACCACAGCAATATTTACACTTTTTTAATCTTTTAAACAAAGCCATCAGCTCCTCTCAGCTCCCATTAGCTGTCCTTATTTTTTATTTCCCACGAGGCCACAGAAGTCTCCACAAAAGCAAATAGAAGCAAAGACCAATACCTCCCCGGGTACAGTTTCTGCCCTCTGTCACTATAGACCAACTGTGTGTCCTTGCAAGTCCCATGGATTCCTGCAGGCCACCTGCCCAGGGCAGATGCTCATGTGTGGTCCCTTCCCCCAGAAACTCACAGCCCTGAGGCCTAACTTACAGCATTCAATGGGGTTGGACGCCGCCTGCAGGGAAATGATTCGGCCACTGGGCTCCGGGACGTGGACGCGGAACACCAGGCGCACCCGCGTGTTCTTCCTGCCGATGTCTGTCTCGCCCTTCCGCAGCTCGATGTCGGCGTTTCGAAGCTTCAGGATGCCTGCACAGTCGATGCTGCATAGGGGAGAGCCCCGGTCATAAGAAAGGTCTCACTGAGGAAAAGATCACCCACAAACCTGCCTGAGGTGGCCAACCAAATGCATCCTCCCCACAGCCACAGGGACTTGCATATCCCCCTGGGGTATTAGAACCAGAACCAAGAGGTCGAATTTTTATAAAGAAAGAAAAAAAAAGTTATAAGGTGCTTAGATCATCTCCCCAGTGGAGACTGTTTCTCTGGGGAAGTTTTCCTCATCGAGGCTTCTATTCTTAAAAGCACCAGGAAATCTGGAAGAACTGGCCAGGGCTAGTCCACAAATATGAGAGTATCCAGGTCTGTTGAATTCCACAAACAAGAAAGCACCCTTGCTCTTTGGAAATGCTCACCAAGGTCTGTAAAAGCCAAGGGCATGACTGACCACCTCTCAAAGGACTTGGGGCTGTGGTGTGAGACAGAGGAGAGAGGAAGGAAAGTGGACCCTGCTAGCGATGGGGACAGCACGGCCAGTGCCCTGCGACCTTGTACCCTCCCTCCCCAGGCCTCCTGCAGGCCTGAGTCTATTTCCTCATAAAAGGTTCTTTGATGCCAACACGAATGTGCCATGTGGGTAGAAGTGCTACATGGGTGACCTTCTGTGTTGTCACTGGAATTTTCTTTAGGGCCCATCGGTCTTTGTTTTTGTTTTACTTTTTGAAACAGGGTCTCATGTAGCCCAGGCTGGCCTGGTTTTAGCTACAAACTCCAGAATTTCCTGTCTCCATCCACACGCCCAAGCACTAGGATTGAGGGTATGTGTCACCATGCCTAGCTTTCATATAACTCTTCTTCAAAGGAAAAACATATAGGTGGGCCCAAGATGGGACAGTACCAGCAATGGCTGTTGTGGTACCCACATTGAGATGCCCCCAGTCCTGTCACTCAGGCCCTGCTCACATCCCCAGGAAGCCCCTGTCAGCCTTACGTGGCCCTCATGTTGTTCTTTGGCTCCAGGGGGATCTCCAAGACCTTGGTGTTACCCACAATCTTCTCATAGCTGGTGGTGGTAACGGTTTTGCCCGTGATCCTGTGTACTTGGTAGAAGGCGTGTGGCTTAAGGATCCTCTCATCGGCTGTCCCAATGAAGATCTGAAGCCCCAGAGGCTTGTTCTCCATGTAGCCGTGGAGCTAAGGGAGGCAAAAAAAAAATCTTTATTTATTTATTTATTTGGTGAGACTGTTCTAGTCTGACCACCAGAGAAGATCAGAGAAACACGTGGGCAGTGACAGAGTGTGGCGTTTCTTATGGCCTGGATGAGTGCATGACCAGAAGCAGCCTTGGTGTCCAACCAGAGTGACTGTTCAAATAAGTTACAGGGATCTCTAAAATGGATGCTGAGGGGCTGGAGAGATGGCTCAGAGGTTAAGAGCTCTGGCTGCTCTTCCAGAGGACCTGGGTTCAATTCCCAGCACCCACATGGCAGCTCACACCTGTCTGAAACTCCAGTTCCAGGGGATCTGATACCTTTACACCAATGCACATAAAATAAAGTTAAATTATCTTTTTAAAAAAGAAAGAAAAGCACAGCTCCAGTGATCAGGCAGGCAGACAGACAGACAGACAGACAGACAGACAGACAGACAAAAAGCACAACTCCAGTAATTACTGGCGGAGGCAGTGGTGGCACACATCTTTGATTTCAGCACTCGGGAGGCAGAAACGGGTGGATCTCTGTGAGTTTGGGGCCAGCCTGGTCTACAGGGCAAGTTCCAGGACAGCCAGAGCTACACAAAGAAACCTTGTCTCCAAGAGACAGAGATAGAGAGTAAGAGAGAGAGGAGGCAGGGAGGGAGGAAGGGAGAGGCCTAGAGACTCACACAGCTCTTGTTGACAAAGGTCATCAAGGTCATCTAAGAACATCTGTAGACAGAACTCACTTTTCACAAGCCAATACCCCAATTTGCACAGATTGATTTTATACTTTTAAAAAATAAAGAGCAAGACAACAGTGCAATCAATCAAGTCAAAATTAATTAAAGCCCAGAAGAAAATACACGTCACACATAGCAGGCAGTCAGCCAGCCTGTGGAGTGTATAAACACTCTTGAAGACCATCCACAAGGAAAGGTGACGAGGCTGAGGCCCACCTCTAATAGCCACCTCTAACTTCATGCTACTACCATAAAGAGTTCTGGAATTACACTGGGTGGTAGTGGTGAAAGCCTGTAATCCCAGCACTCAGGAGGCAGAGGCAGGCAGATCTCTGTGAGTTTGAGGCCAGCCTGGTCTAAAGAGAAAATTCCAGGACAGCCAGGGCTGTTACACAGAGAAACCCTGTCTCAAAAAAAAATGTTTTTTTTTTTTAAAGGAGCTTTGGAGTTTCAGCACACAAATTTGACAATAGACACCCCATGGCCCAGTCATGCACCCATCAATATACAACCTGGAGAAGCCTCATGCAGACAAACAAAGCACACACTGGACAAGAGTGGTGGCCCAGACAACACTACTCTACACAGCAGTTCAAAAAGTATATATTCCACGGACTGACTCCTAAATGTATGTTGTTGGGGGCGGGGAGCGAGACCAGAGAGAGGGCTCCATGGGTGAAGGCACCTACTACCAACCCTGATGAGAGGGCTCCGTGGGTGAAGGCACCTACTACCAACCCTGATGATCTGATTTGCACCCCAGGGCCCCCAACTCCCAGGGCTTTTCCTCAACGTCCATAAGCAAGCTGTGGTTTGTAAATAAATGTATTGGTTTTATTTTTAAGGGAAAAAAGTGTCAAACCCTACAATTTATAAAACAATACAGAACATTTCTATCCATTTCCACACTCACAGATTCAGGAGAAAAAGGTGTGGAAAGGGCACTCCACACAGACTGCGCTGTGACCCTCGTGAAGGAAGAAGACCAAAGAGGATGGTGACTTCGTGCCCCATGGCACGAGAGGAACATAGTAGGTATACACTAAATAACTAAAGACAAAGGCATGCCCAACTGAGACTCTGGTCCTGAGCTCCGGCCACTTCCCAGCATCCTCTTTGATTCCTCTGTCCATCCATCCCTAGGTTTGCAGACTGAAGAGGCCTGTGACAAGGGGGAAGTTCCATAGAACTGCAGCAGTATCTCCTGTCAATTTCCAACCAAACCGAAAAAACAAAACAAAACAAACACCAAGAAAGGCAACGGGCATGGCCTAGAATAACCCTGCTCAGTGCAGAGCCACCAGCCTCACACATGCACTGTGACAATGGACATGACCTGGAGTCACCTGAGAAAGGAGTCTCAGTTGAGGGGTTACCGGGAACTAATTTTGGCCTGTGGGCAGGTCTGGGGGTGCAGGTGGGGGCAGCTTTGTTGTTAATTGCCGTAGGAGGACTCAGCCTCCTATGGGCACCACCATTCCCTAGGCAGGTGACTGGATTACATAGGAAAGCCGGGTAAGCGTGAGCCTGTGAGCCAGCAAGCAGTGTTCCTCCAAGTCCTGCCCTGGCTTCCCTCAGTAATGGGCCGTGTGACCTGGAGGCTGAGAAAGAAGCCCCTATCTTGCTTTTGGTTAGAGCATTTTATTACAGCAACAGAGTAAAACTAGAAGAGTTTCTGAATCCCACTCAGCGTATGTTAAATGTTCTCTGGCCACATGTGGCTAGCAGCCACCACAGTGGACAGTGTGATCACCAATTTCCATTCATCTTCCCAGAGCATTCTGCTGAATGGTATAGGAACCAGGGCTCTAGTGCCCCTGCTAGAAGCCACACAGGGGCATGCTGGGAATGAGAGCTGAGCTGGAGGATGACCTGCCTGCTGGGCTGACACCCACAGCACTGACAGGAGTGGCAGCCACAAAGGTGAAGCCCAAGTCAAAGCCACTTATCTGAGGATCACCCACTGCTTCAGGTGGCACAGATCAAACAGACAAAGGTTGCACGGAGAGGAGATTGCCTTCTTGTCGTGAGGGCTTTGTGTGGCGTCCCAAGATACGTGTATTTCATAATTGGCTTCCCTGGTTCATCGGAGGTGGTAAACACGGTCCACGGTGCCAGAGGAAAGGCGGGCAGGGCAGCCGTGAGTGTTAACGCTAGGCTGCTTCCTCCTCCCGTGACAGAAGAGAGTGCACAGTGAAGGACACATGGGGAACAGCTGGGGGACGTGTGCTAATCAAGGCCAGCCACTCCATCCCCTCCCTTGTTGGCATTCCAAACCAAGCCGCCATTGCACTGCCTCTCATTTGGGCGGCTGTCAACACACTGCTTGCCTCTTAGAGTCTTTCAGAGACTGGTTGAGTAATCTTTTAAAAATGCAAATCAGATCCGGGCACTCCCCTGCTTACAAACCCTCGGAAGACTTCCTGTGGCCTCCCAACTTAGCTGCTGCTGGTAGTCACTGAATTCCCCCAAAGCCCAGCCCCTGCCTTCTCTTCCCATCCTGCCAGGCTTGTGATTCCTCCCTTTGCTCAACACACCAAGTTCATGCTGACCTCAGGGCCTTTGCAAAGCCACTGTCTCTATCTAAATGCAGATTTTCTCCTCTTTTCCCAGATAAACCACAAGTTGTACCTTTGCCCAGGACTTGGTCAGCCATGTGAAAAGCAACCACCAAACGCTCAGGGTTTGAGAAGCCGGTTGGCACCACGCGGGTCTCCAGCCTTGCTAGGAAGAGTTTCACAACAAAATTGGCACATGCTAAATGGAGATGTATGTGCATGTGTGTGAGTGCGT